TGTCCTGACTACGTGCACTTTCCATGTGACCATGCTCCCTGAATCTTTGCTGTACCCTTCTGACTACTTGGCATCCTGGGAATTCCTTTGCTGCCTCATTATTCTGTCTGGATGAGGATTGGTAACTCCTTAAGCAGTTTGAATCCACTTGATCAAATCACCTAAAAAGTGGGAACTGTATAGTAGCTACCCTACGGGTCCTGAAAGGAGCAAATGAGTTAATATTCTTGAGACACAGAGTCTGGGCTGTGAAAAACTCAGTGAGTGTTAGCTGTTATCCAAATTTCTTCTAATCTTCAAGGACTAGATAGCAGCCGACCTCTTACACTGGCTCTCCTCCGACTAGTCTCACCTGCCCAGTGATTGCTTGCTTGAAAGAATTTCTACTGATTTACTGAAATAACACTTTGAGACAGCTATATAATAAAAGGAAAGAAACAATATCTGAGTTAAAATGTTAACACAGTAAGTAGGTGTGTGGGATTTAAGTCTTGTTTTTGTCATCTCTGAAATGCATATTATAATGCCTTAGCCAGGGGCATTGTGAAGACTAGACAAAATGATGCTAAAAAAGTAGCTCAGGCAGGTCCTGAGTCATAGCAGTTCTTCAATGAATATATGTATTTTTAAGGCAGGGTCTCATGTAGCACATTCTCATATAGCCCAGGCTGGCCTGGGATGCCCTGTGTAGCCCAGAATGACTCTGAACTCCTGATCCTCCTGCCTCCATCTCCCCCAGTCCTGGGATTTACAGGTGTCTGATTCCCATCTGACATTTTTGTTTTTTGAGACAGGGTCTCACTAAGTATCCCAGGCCGATCTTGAACTATGGTACTCCTCCTGCGTGGCCTCCCAGAGTACTGGGAATATAGGTATGTATAATTGTGTCTGCAATGCATACTTTTTCAAAATTTATTATTTGGCGTTTTTGTTTTCTGGATTATAAAAGAATTATTAGCCAGGTGTGGTGGCACATGCCTTTAAACCCAGCAGGAGGAGGCAGAGGTAGGCGGATCTCTGTGAAATCAAGGCCAGCCTGGTCTATGCAGTGAATTCCAGGCCAGCCAGGGCTACAGGGAGACCCCGTCTCAAAAAACAAAAAAGTAGAATTATAGAAAATTTAGATGCCATAGCAGCATATATAGAGAAAATTAAAACAATAATAAACATATTTGTGAAGATAATTTCCTCACCACAGTAACTCCAACCCTGGGGAAGAGACCTAGGTAGATATGCTTCCTCTAGTCTTTCCTGTGTATATGTGCACATGCAAACATTGACACTCATATTTAAAAAACGAAAGGAATCCCATTAGTACTATTTTTGCAGCCTACTTTACTTGACACAGACATGTCTCCATCTCATTTAACATTTTCCAAATCACAGTTTTCATGAGTCATAAACCATCTTATAAATACAACTATATTAAACTACTTAACCATAAAGTCAGTTTATAGATATTCTGTTGCACAGAATCAAATATCTTTGTCTATGAATTTTGTGTTTTTGATTACTTTATTAAGATAAATTCTCAAGATTAGACATATTGGATCAAAGAAAGCATATTAAAGAATCACAGTATTAAAGGAGCCCATGTTGCCAACTTTTGCCTTTCTAAAAGTTGTATAAATTGCATTCCTGTCCACAGTGGCCTAGGGAGCTCATTAGAAGCCACCTTTGCCAGTGCTGTTGGGTGCTGTTAGTTAACTTTGCATCTGCTTTATCTATTATCTTTCAACCTAGATTGTAATCCTGAGTGGCCATCTGCTTCTGTTCCCTGCCACAGAACTTTGCTGGTGTCACTCCCATGGCAACCTTTTGTTAATAATTGCCAAGTGAGTACATTTCCATTCTCCACTTTTTCTTTAGGGCCAAGAGCTGGATAAAGCACTTAAAACAATCACCTTCAAATCAGTCAAACTGAGAGTGGTTATCGTCTTGTTCTCAGTCTTCTAGAAGGATGGGGTGGGGAGAAACATAGTAAATCACACACAGGGGCTGATGTTCAGGCAACATACACAAGGGAACTGGCCTTGGGAGAGAAAATGAACCGTTTTTCAGGAACAGCTCTGCAGCGCGTTTGAAAATGACTTTCTGCACTGCTGTCTGTTCTTCCTTCAGAACTGGGTGTGGAGAGGGTGGGATCTGATTTACAACTCAGCCATGCAGCAGAATGATGGAATTTTCCAGATGGTTCCTCTGTTGGCTCTTGGCATAGTTACAGCTTGGCCTTCTGGGAGCTATAAGGCTGCAAGATCTAGACGGCTGTTTCAGTGGGTCAGATTGTGGTAACCCTGGGTTTTGGTTGGCACAAAGGGTCATATAAAATTTCAAACCATGAACTCCATTTTTATTTTCCTTTTACTAACCCCTAGTAAATGCTTTGATCAATGGGGCTAAAGCGAGGAAGGTGTTACACTGCTCCCCTCAACACACAGACACACCCATCCTAAATATGGACTCAAATTTCCTGGCAACAGGAACCTTTCAGAATGCCAGCGTCTTGGGGAATCTTCTGCTGGGAATAACACATTGGTTCATAATTTTTCCAAGTCTACACACCCACCCTGAAGATGAATTGATACTATTCTTTTTTTCATTCTTACAGCCTCCTCTTCCTGGAATAGCTCTGTTCTGTTATCACATAAAAAGGCTTTGTTGGCAGGGGTATCTAACCCATTAGCCACACACAGACCAAATAGCTATGAATGCCACCCAACACAAAATTATACTTACTTGAAATATTGTAAGACATTTTTGTAACTCAATTGTACTGTTCTTGAGTGTGAAACGTTGTAGATATTAACACAACGTCATTTGTAGTGTTAAAATCGACACTCCTAGAAGTGTCAATGTTTTCATGGGTTGGGGCGCCTGAGCCCATGAGCACCAGCCCATGCTAACTGTACTTGCTCGCTTGTGGATAAACCATGAATCATACCCATTAAAAGCAGTTTTCCCAGGAGGAAGGTAAAGTCAGTGGTAAGTCTGTACTGGTCCACATTCTCATGGGAGAGAGATCATTTGCTCATGACGGCCGGTTGATTTCTTCAGTCTCTGTGGCTATCAAAGAGGTTACCTCTTTGGGTCTCCTCTCCTCAGAGCCAGAACTTCTTGAACTTACAGGTTGGAAGCCCTCTTTGAATTAAGAATAGTCACTGTTGTGAGGAACAAAGACCTCCCCCCACCCCAATATTGAGCACTGGAGACTTGGAGCAGCAAAAGTGAGGCAGTTTATTTTACAACCGTGCAAAATTGGACACCCTCGACAGAGATCCAGATGGTGGGGCAGACAGAAGTGCAAGGAACAGTTTTGATAGCCCTGAAAGTGGGCGCTTCCCATACCTAGTTCTCATTCATGAGTAATAATCAGGGGTGTACAATCTTGCATCATCTGAGTCACTTAATGTTTGTCTATTTCTCAACAAAGACTGTGCATGGGTTTATCTCTACATTTTATATCCTGTTTGTTTTAAAGTTCTTCAGGCCAATGACCTTGTCAGGCCTACAGGTCATTAGGCAAGCTCGGCTGTTAATAATATTTTACTTTAAATTTCTGTTTTGGTTGGGGGCGTAGCTACACTAACAGGCATTAGCAGGGACCCAAGTGTTTTCCTGTTCTGTCAATAGACCCAAGGCACTTTTGAAAATGGACTATTATTTTTTATTTCTTACACTGTGGCAGATAGGATGCCAACTTAAGTATGCAGAGTCTGAGAAATGCCAAACTATTTCTGATTCTCTTAGAGTTAGAATTTTGCTGATTGAGGTTCTGCCCATTGGATGAACTTCCTTGAGACTTGGATGTGGGGCCAAGTCATGTATGAAATGATGTAGGGCAAGGGGAACTTGGGAGTCTCTGGATGGACTGTGCTACTGGGTTGTAAGGTTCTGGAGTTGCTGACTGTAGCCATGGCTTCTCAGTTCAGCAAGCAGATTCCTGACCTAGCGGTCCTGTAGGTCCAGCTTTGGAACAAGGATTTGGGAGTCATTTCTATTTTTTTTTTAATTTTATTTTTTGCCTGCATGTAGGTAAGTGCACCTGTGTTGTGCAATGCCCAAGGAGGTCAGAAGACACTGTTGGATCCCCTGGGACTGGAGCTACAGACAGTTGTTAGCTGCCATATGGGTGCTGGGATTCGAACCCGGGTTTTCTGCAAGAACAACCAGTGTTCTTAACCTCTGATCTAACTCTCTAGCCCTGGGAGTCATTTCTAAGGGCACCCTAGACTCAGCTTCTTTGGCAGCTAACACTGCTGTAATGTAGTCCTGGGTAAGTAAGCCTGCTGATATAATCCTATGGTTGGAAAGCTATGATTTGTTGTGCTTTGTTCACTGCTGATGGAGACAGAAAAGTGGCTGGAATTTTACTCTTGACTTTACTATGAATTTATTTTTTCTAAAGCTAACTTTGAACTATCTTGTTCCCTTTTTATAAACTTTTCCTTAACAGTAGTAGATGATTATACTCTCTCTAGTAGTAGATGATTATACTCTCTCTTAAGAGTTACATTGGAAGTTTGCCCTGGAAGTATATTGATGTGTTCAATCATAAAAGTGACTGTTTTGCTTGGGAGGTAGAGGCAGGAGGATCAGGTATTCAAAGTCATCTTCAGTTACATATCATTTTTGAATAGAACATTTGAGGCCAGTCTGGATAGATGAGACCATATTTTTTTTTTTTAAGTTTCCATTGTTGTTGACTTAGTTAACTAGAATAATTCAATGTATCCATTCATGGAATTTATATATTGCCTCTCCATCAATAAGCATACAGCATGTAGTGCAGATGCACTGAAGGAATATAAAGGACTGGGAGAAACGTTTTGTTATCTGTCAGTATCAGTACTGATACTTAATTTTCAACCAAAAAGCCTACAGTATATCTGGCACGCCCAGAGCTCTGTTTTGTGCTGGCTACCCAAGACCATACTCACTCTTCAGGAACCAAAGAAACAGGAAGAAAGCATTTTATAAGAAGCAAAGAACACTCTATCTCAAATTTTGAACTAAAAAAAGGACTTTATTTATTGAGGGCAAGAGGATGTAAAACATATAAAAACGAAAAGCTTCTCTGTCAATTGACTTTTCTTTTTCTGCTTGTCAGATTGGAGTTGGATGCTATTTGTACATTTCCTAAGAGTCATGATCTGCTCAGGAGAAGCTGTGGGGGCAGATTCCTTAAGTGACCCTGTGGGAGAACTCTTATCAGGGTCGGGTATCACCACTTGGTTCAGTCTACTTCTTTCCCTTCTGCTTCATGTGTACAACAAAATAGTCATTGCATGCAATGATGAGCCCTGCAACCAGCGACAGGAAGCTCTGGAAGCCCACTCTGCCATCTCTGCACTGGTCCAGGTCCTTCATTATTTTGTCCACGGCCAGAGGGTCCTTTTGATTCTGTAAAAAAAGAAAGAGGGAAAGTAATAAATAAATAAAGAACGAACAAAGGCCAAAGACACCAGTTAATGATTGCAGTGGTTATCTTTGATCTGCTCTGCTGACGGCATGTGCACAGTCTCCCAATTAGTCAAGATCTTGTCTTAGGTCCTAAATGAACTTTGTGAGTCACCAGTATGTTTTTTTTTTTTTTCTTGAGAGAGTATTTCAGTAACTTAATATTTAGATTCTGCCCAAGACATACACTCACTATTTTCTTTTTCAAACTTATGTTCTTTTAATACATGTTCATTCCTGGTAGCCTGATCGAGTTCTTTAAAAAGAGAACTCACTCTTTATGAAGAATTCGTGTAAGATTTAGGGAGCAAGTTTGAGATCATTCTTCTGGTTTAAGCAGGTGCTAGTGATGCCAGAGAAGATGGCGAGATTGTTCTCTTTCCTCCTTGGCACAGCTGAGGCCAAGTGAGTGTGAAGTCATATCATATTAGCCATGTAGCCTGAGTACATCACATAGCTGGTGCCTTTCACATAGCAACTATGAACAGAGGGGTTTGGATGTGATGTCATCTCTGGGATGCCTTCCATTCTTTATGGGTTGAATCCAGGGCCTTGGCCATGCTAGTCACAAACTCAACCACTGAGCTACTCTCCAGCCCTTGTTCTACGCTATGATTTGGCAAATCTATGCCATCTTATTCTCTTCCCTGGATTGGGAACAACCTTCAAAGTGAGTATCTGAGGCTGGCTTTGGGTGGTAAAGTGCAAGCTCGAGACCCTGAGTTGGGATGCATAGCACCCTTGTGAAAAGCCAGTGCAGCAGTGCTTGCCTGGAATTCCAGCACCAGGGAGGCAGAGACAGGAAAACCCTCAGAGCTTGCTGCCTGGTTAGTCCAGCTGAATTGGTGGACTTCAGGTTCAATGAGAGACTTTATTTCAAAAAATAAGGTGACGGCCCAGCGGGATGGCTCTGTGGGTTAGGGTGCTTGCTGCTAAGCCTGACCTGAGTTTGATCTCTGTAACCCACATAACTCCCCATATTGTCCTCTGACCTCCATGTATATACTATGGCGTACACACACACACACACACACACACATACACACACACACTGAATAAATGTAAAAAAAATTAAAAGCAGAGAGCAACTGAGTAATGACACCAGATACTGAATTTTGGCTTCCCCACATATGCACATACATAAACATGTACACACATACTACACAAAGGAATATTTATGAGACTCTAAACTCTTCAATGACTGGTATGAATCTGTGAAGCAGGGATAGATAGGCAAATGCCCTTGGTTTTCATCTTGCTTCCAATGGCTTTTTGAAACCATGCTGGTTAGAAGTGTAAAAGCATCGTTATTACTGTAGGTTCATTGCCTAGAAAGGGAAACACCCTTGAACTCATGAGTTGTTGAAAGGTTCAGATAAAATATTTATGAATGCCAGCAACTGCACAGTGGGTGTGGGAACTGATAGGCAATGTTTTAAGTATGCTGGATGTGTACAAATTATGCTCAAATCCTTTAAAGTAAAGGAGTCACATTTCCTACTTAAGGTGGGCAAACTCCTACCCTAAGCAATCTACTGAAACCTGCGCTATGCAGTTAATTCTAGTCTTACCCCCTGCTTCCTGGCTGTGGTCAGAATGAGTGAAGCTTGGATGACATAAGCCACCGTGACTTTAGAAACAAGATGCTCTGTTAATGCAGTGAATGCAGGCGTGTCTGGAATTATGACCCTGTACAAGGAATTTGTTACCCTGCCATGTTGAGCATGGCCTTTATGTTTAAGTCACCAAGCCTAGAAGACAGAAAGTCTGTGTCTTATGCCACACACAATTAGTGAGTGTTTAGTATTGAGAATGCCTTTGTCAATATGATGGTTGGCTTACAGTGAGCATATTCTGTTCTTGCACTTTATGCTTGTCTACAAAGATCATAAAAAGTTAAAGGCAGGCTTGTAGATAATCATGTCCAGCCCTCAAATTTTAAGGAGGGAGCCAGGACGAGGAAGTGGAAATGACCCGCCCACTGTTAGTTCATAGCTAGATCTTCTGACCCCTAGACTGGAGCTGCATTACAGTGCTCTATGCCAGCAGAGTAACTGTATACTCTGGCTCACCCTGAAATAGTGTTGAGATGATTGCAGCTGGAAGGGAAGAGGTAGGCCACTTATTTAATTGATATTGATGATGTGTAAAAGTAGTCTTCTGCAAAGCCCCATTTATTGGTACAGGAGTCAGGGCCTTGACTAATGTGCTATCTATCAGGCAGATGACAAGAAGGCAGGATGTGGCCTTTCAATGTCACTTCCCTTTACCCTTGGAGGGCGGGAGCTAATGCATTATTGAATGCCCAGCATAGGAACAATCCTTTCCAGTGACTACAGTTATGGTGGGAAAAGATGAGCTTGTATCTCAATCTGCTGTTGTGTCAAGCAATGTTCCGCCAAGGCAGAACATTAAATTCAAAAACTATTCTTGAGGGCCTACAAAGTCGAAGGATAACTGTGCCTAGTGGCTTAATGTTAAGTGACATATATGAGCAGACGAGTCCTAGTTTTCAATGGTTGCTCAGGCTGCCAAAAGTGAGGCATAACCTGGACTGTGCTCTTGGGTTCTGCAGCATTTTCATAGTAAAAAGCAATTACTTCTGGAGTGACACTTTGCTCTTACTTAGTCAACAATGAACACAATTCCTTTACGGATTTGAGTTGGAAAAAGAAAAGCCATTTTGTCAAAAAGGCTTTAAGAAGGGCGATTTGGAGAGGTGTAGAAGTCCACTGATAGAGCATCTGCTTCACATGAATGAGGCCCCGGCTTCAACCTCCAGCACACACTCACACACAAAGGAGATCTAAGTTGTTCAAAGTGGAGTATGACCAGAGTATGGCATCTCCATCACCAGGTTTATGGGCCTGAGATGTGACACCCCTGATCCATCACTCTTGTGAAAAGTCTTTTCCCCCATGTAGTCCCAAGGGATGTGGATAATTTCACCTGCAGATTGAAAGCTCCTTGAGGCAGGGGTGATGTCTTTCTCACTTTGTTTCTACTGTGATTTCTTAACATAAGACACTGTCTAATAAACCACTGTGTGGAACTTTCTAGCAGTGACTTGCGTAGGAAAGGGATGGAAGATCAAGGGAAAGAAAAACTTTGATTTTTATGCCTGGTTCTTTCTGAGACTTTCAACACTTACTTCCAAAAATCCAGGGAACTCCCTTTCCATGAGTACTCTCAGGTCCTCCTTCGTTAAGTAGTCTTTGTCCCCAGCAAATCTGTGGAATGTAAGCATCATGGTTTCCATGGCATGCTCCATTTGAGACGGCATTTTGAGGAGGTCTGTTGAAACCTGTTGAAGGACATAAAGAAACAAGGTTTGCACTAACTTTCAAATCACATGTTCTGCAAGTCTTTAGAGGACATTTGGGAAGTATTAGATCTTCCATTTGATCTTTCCCAACTGCAAAATCCCACATATCTAAGGCCCTATTTGGGGTCTTTTGCTGGTGGCAATAGAGACTTCAGGTATTGGAGCTCTGAATGTGGGTTTTACCTGGCTGTCAGTTAAAGCTACATTAAGTTACCTAATCAAGAATAAAGCTACAACTTTTTCAAAAAGCAAGACCAATCCTGCTCTTTTTAACTGAAAGAATATATTTCCTTCTTTTCCTTGATGCTGAGGTCTTAGAAATGGCTGAATGCCAACATGCTACAAGTCAAACTTAGTTAATATGGAAACCCTCTATGCTTGACTTAGGAACCTGGATCAGTCTGATTCTAGAGATTCATTTACAGATGAATTTGTCTGCTAAACATTTATACGTTACTAGTATTTAAAACTTGTTACTTATAAAGACATTTGCATCTCTGGCAGTAAAATGCAGCTGCCTTTTCTGAGTATAAGTATCTCAAAGCTCATTATCAAGTTCACAGGGGAAGAAGCAAGTCCATACAAACTCCTTTGCGGGACTGATATATTTTGGCAGCACCAGACAGAAGTGCTTTCTTCACAGTGTGGGATGCAGTGGGAGAGAAAGGGCTTTTCACCTAGAGTTTACAAGAGAGGGAAGGAGACATCAGGTTACTGGATTCATGTCAATAAACTTGGGTACAAGTTTCATTAAATCTCAGTGCCCAGTAGGAGCTCAACGAATTCTGGATTAGTTGGAAGGCATGCCGTGGTCAGAACAGAGAAGCTCTGATACCACCTAAGATCCTAAAATCACCACTGCGTAGGAAACAGGTGAACTTGATTCGAAATTGTACGCACCACTACGTAACACACACACACACACACACACACACACACACACACGCACGCACACACGTTATGTGGCGTCTATCTAAAAGAGGCTGGTTACTTCTGCTAAAGAGCACCAATAGGAATCTGGAACCTGCTTCTGTCTGATTCTGCTGCTGACAGATGCTGCTAACTACCACTGAGCTTAAGGCCTCAGTCAAGGCATGAAAGTGGACTACCACTGAGCCATATTCTCCAGCTCTGCTTTCACTTTTTATCTTGAGACAAGGTTTCACTCAGTTGCTTATGCTGGCCTTCAGTTCACTCTGTAGCCCAGGCAGGCCTTCATTTGAGATCTTCCTGCCTCAGCCTCCTTGGGAGGCTGGGCGGGATTACAAGCTAGCCACTAGGCCTGACTTCTAAATGCTATCTTTTACAGAGTCAGAGGTATAGTGTTGAACACTAGGACTGAGTTATATTTAAGAGGTGTAAATTGAGCTCCAGAAAAGTACAAGAACCAACATGATAAAGAATGCTACTCAGGAGAACACTGTCGGTCAGAATCTGACATGATTCACCTGTACCACTTAGTACAGGGCAGATTCACACTTCAAGGTTCACGGTGACGTGAACCCTTGGGGAGCCACACCCTTTTCCTCTCTTCCTGTAGAGCCCAGATTTGGCTCTCCCCATTCTCCCCGGCCACCCTGCCCTAAATATGAGTTCCCCATGGCAGTGGGCTTAGAGTCTGCCTTGCCTGGACTGATTTAGAAGTTCAGGAATTTAAGAGAATAGAACTAAGTCACAGAGACCCACCTCAGCCCTTAAATAACCCAGGAAAGGAGTCAGACACCACTAAAGTTTAAAAATACTGTGCCAAAGTTCGGAGCCGCAGAGCTCTTTTCGACCTTCTGAAAGCAGATTCTAGACAAGCTCTCAGACTTCCAACCGTACGGACACCCTGCCCACTTTCTTCAGTCGTCAGGAAAGTGTACACAGAGCTAAAGAAGAAAGGGGACACAGCAAGACAGGGGTCTCCCAAATAGGAAACCAGGCTAATTCAGGACTCTCAAGGAATACAAATTACAAGCTGAGGAAATCCTGGTGTCACTCGAATGTCTTCTTCAGTAGGGTGAGATCAGGCCACCTCACCTGTTAGCAGGGGCTCAGGTCTGTGACAATGCCACTCTACTCCTTCCTTTCAAGTCCAGCTGGTTTGGAAGTGATAGCGCTTTCCCCCCTGAACCTTCAACCCTGCCTTCTGGTCCTCCCTCCCTGTTTCTCCTAACTGCTTTCATTCCATAATGGGTGGTGAATAGAGCAGCCAGCTGACTCTGCTCGTTCAAGAGACCTGCAATAAAAATGCAGAGCAGGGGCTGGCCAGAAGGTGAAAACAGGAGTTGAAGCCCAGAGAAAGTCCCTGGGTCCCAGAGGGCACTGACTGGGGCTATAAGCCAGGGGTTGTTTTGAAGAAAGGTTCAAAATAAGATGAAGGATTCAGGTGTGGTAGAGGCAGTCCCAAACAGTGTAATCCCAGCACTCAGTGTATGTGTGTATGTGTGGGGGGTGGGGGTGGGGGAGGGTTGTTGAGGCAAGGGGATTAGAGTTCTAGGCCAGTCTCTGCTATACAGACCCCGTCTTAAGAATCAAAACAACAAACAAAAAGTAAGACAAAAGCAAAAGGGGAAATGCTATGCTGCTCTCTCGGTTAAATGAATCACGCAGCCCTGCTTGGGTGTAGCGGTCCCTAGCCTGTCCCTAACTCCTTGGGTGGGGCTTGCCTGGCAGGGCTGACTGCAGCCCAACTGTCAGTTACTGAAAGTTTTTCAGGAACTTGAATCTAGCACTACTACCCCACCTATCACCCCACAAACTCCACTTTAGAAGTGGGGGGCTCCTACTTCCTGGTTGGATACAATTTGTCATGAGGGTCCTGGGACTGACTCTGAGAGGCAGGGGAGTCTTTTCAGTGACAACCTACTGTTGTACCTGGTACACTCAATCACAGTATCACATTCAGCTGTTCATCTGTCTGCCTTAGCTTTAAAACTCATCATAGTCAAGAGCCATGTATTATTCTGCCTTAATCCAGAGACCACTAAGTAATAGTTGTTAAATGAATGATCCAACAGTCCCTTTGGCGGTAGCTGAGATACAGATGTGATTACCTCTAGGCAGCTGAAAACTTTGTAGCTCAGAGTTCAGCAGCTGGAGATGAGCCCTGGGAAGGGCTGGGAAAGAGGCCTCAGCAGGGTTTGCCTATGAATGAACAGTACAGTACAGAGAGCACATTCCAGACGCAAAAGAAAAACTATGGGTCCTGCTAAGCAAGTCTGGTCAGACTGGAGGTTTTTACCCCTGCTGTTTCTCATGCTTTCATTTATCTCTCCTTCCACTAGGCAGGCTCCTCACTAGCTCTACAGGACGGACCTACCTCCTTGCCCACTCACCTTTTTTTTCATATTTTTATGTCTGTATATGCCCTTCCCATGTCTGCCTGACCATCAGGCCTTAACTGTCTCTGTCTCTGCAGAAAACAACTCTGGATTCCACAATTTTGGTTCTCTTACATTGAGCAGTGACTTTGCACATCTCGACTATGGCGTTAGGCACAAAGAATAGTCTCATTCTCTCAGTTGTTTTTCCTGGAAGGGGTGGGGAGGCAGGAGTCCTTCTTCCTGAGCAATCCCAAATGTCTGCTCTGAACCTACAGCTAGGCTAGAATTCCCAAGAGGATTCTTTTAAGAAGCAAGAAGCCTGAATTACTTTACTTGTCTTTTAGATATGGATATCTTGTCCATATCTTTTAAATATATTTTATTACTTTTACAATTATTTTATGTGTATTGCCTGCATGTATGTAAGTGAACCTGTGTTGTACAATGCCCGTGGAGGTCAGAAGAGGGCATGGGATTCCCTGGACCTGGAGTTATGGATAGTTATTAGCCACCATGTGGGTGCTGGGAACCAAACCCAGGTCCTCTGCAAGAGCAGCCAGTGTTCTTAATCACCGAGTCATCTCTCCAGCCCTTCTTGTCCATATCTCACTTCTTGAAGACACCCAGAAATAATTATTAGGGTGCCAGTGAACATAAACATCTGTTTATTAAAAAATGTTTGAAGTTTCTATTCTTTTGTTTATGGGAATTTGAGAAAAAAAGATCTTTTAAAAAATTGAACCCATGTTAAAGGGAAAGATCAGTGACTAGTGTCTTAATGAGATGATGACATTTTCCTGTTCTGAATCCCCGCCCCCGTGCAGTTGCCTGTGGACAGCAGCAGACATGTAGGTCTGAAAATCTGATCACTATACTATACTTTTCTGAAAAGCAGAACCTCTTTTCTTTCTACCTCTGTTCTAAAGAGGCATGACTTTATAGCTTTTTTCTTTCTCCTCTCTATTATTTGTCTCTGACCAACTTCAGAGATTTTCAGATTTTCTGCCCTGAGATTTTGTCTTTTAAATTGTAATAAAATTATTCTAAATCTTAAAAAAATTGAACCCAGAGGCATTCTTTTTTTAATATTTTATTTATTATTTTTATTTTATGTGTATTCGTGTATTGCCTGCATATAGGTAAGTGCACCCATGTTGTGCAATGCCCAAGGAGGACAGAAGAAGCTGTCAGATCCCCTGGAATTGGAGTTACTGACAGCTGTTAGCTGCCATGTGGGTGCTGGGATTCGAACCTGGGTCTTCTGCAAGAACAGTGTTCTTAACTGCTGAGCCATCTCTCCAGCCCACGCCCCCCCTTTTAAAACATTTTTATCCAGAAGGCATTCTTGAGTTTAATCCTTAAATTATACTTTAGGGGTGGGGGAGAGTTAAGGCAATAGATTTTGATCCAGGCTCTCTCACCAAATAAAAGACACAATCTGCAAAGGAAAGTTCCAGATGTAGTTCAATAGGAAGAAGGAACTTAGAAACTTCCTCCAGTCCAACTAAGTATATCCAGGTTTCCTTGAGGAACTGTTAGTCTTCAGCCTAAACCAACCAATAGTTACTGTGACAACCACTATTAAATTCTCTGGTGAGGTGAGTGGGAGTTATTTAGTGAAGGGACAGAAAATCCTGAAAATGTTCAAAAAAGTGAATAGTTTTTAATCTTTTTTAATTTTTAGGAGTGGCGGTGCTGGAGACAGCACCTAGAGCCTCCGACATGCTAAATGTGCTTGGGTTTGAAAGCTACACCCGGCTCTCCATTTGCTTTTGTTATGAAAATCCCAAGCTGTTGAATCCCGAGAAAATGGGGAGCTTAAGAAAATATCCTATATTTTAGTTCAGCTTTCCCAGTACTGTGAGTACTAATTTATACATTATAACTCTGAAAGAATTCCATTGTTTCCCTTGGCCTTATGCTTTAAAAGGCTGGACTATGTCCAAGGGCATATCAAGTGGGTAGTGCTCTAAAAAAAAAAAAAAACAAAAAAAAACTCAGTTTTTGAGCTGTCAGTGGAAAGCAGGGAGGCACCCAGCCTCAGCCCCACCTAGCCTGGGGCCTGATCTCACAGGGGTCGCTGCTCTGGGGCTGGCCAGAGGCCAGGCATAGGAGGACAAGGGCCCATCTGATGTATCCAGGAAACATCATCCCAAAATCAGGGTAAGCCAAATAAGTGCTCTGTGCCAAGCAGACCTAAAAAATCCTGAAGAACTGAAATAAACTCTTAATTGCTGGATCAAATGTCTCTATGAAGAAACTCTTCTCAGGAGCATTCATGCCATTTAGAAAGGATGATTGAATAGACCCAGGATAGGAGTCTGTAGGGACAGGACTAAGGACATTTCAGTGAGTTATATGAACTCATTCCTGCCCCAAAGCCTAGCATTATCTTTTGCAATTTGCTGAAACACGCTGAAGGCAAAGATCCTGGACAGGGTGTTCCTCACCTCTCCTGGAGGCTGAAGCTGAGACTACAGGGAAAAAAGTGCTGCACCAACTGCAAACCTCTTAAAGGCAGAAGCAACTTCCCAGTAAAGGTGAGGTCCTCTGCCAGGCAGCAGAGGCCAGTAAACCGCAGATAATCTGGCAGAGGTCCAGCCACAGTCCTACCACTCTAATTACTATCCTCCCACGGAGCTCAGTCAAGAATCCTCTCCTTCAGATTGGTGGCAAGTGCTGCTGTGACTCACTTCCTTTGGAAAATGCCCTGGAAGATGGCAGAGTTCCTCTTTTCCTTCAGGGAGTGTTTGGTTCAAATCTTTGGAAGAGAGTATCAGCAACCAGCCTGGCCACACCCAAGGTCTCACAGCTGAGTCACAGGCCTCACTGACACTAAGAGAATCCTGGAGGCCTTTATGCTAACCCCACCCTGCAGAATACTTCCAGCTTCCTTGGGCTGGGGGTGGGTGTCTGAAGGGAAGTGGGTTTAATGGGTTTCCAAAATTTGGCTCTGGGCTCTGTGCTGGCCCGTTACATTTCTGCTCTCCTAGCCACCGCTGGAGAGTGTAGGCTCCCGCCAGCCAACCTCAGGTTGTGAACCAGGTACCAATGGGCATCCATCCATCTCAACACACCACACCAAAGCAACCTAGACTGGAAGATTCTTCACCAAGACTGCTCTCACCCCACGTCTTTCTGGTGCCCCTTATTTAATTCAGGCAGAGGGGCATCGTTTTACCCCCTGTCACTCCAGCACTGCTTTCTAAAGACCATGAAGTCCTGCCATAGAGGTGAGACCCTTCCCAATCAGGACCAACAACAGGAAGCCCAACCCGCAGCTTGCGCTGGGGCGCTCACTGAGCTGTCCTTTGGAAAGGGAGGCCAGCAGCTGCCAAGCCGCCCCGTCCTCCTGACCCAAAGGCGCTGGCAGTCCCGCTGGGAGGAGGCCTGGCACATCTGGACTTGGGGGGTGGGGGAGGTCAGCCGGCATCCAGCCGGGACAAGGGTAAGGCGCAGGGGTCAGCTTAACTCGGAGTTGGAAAGTAGGAAGGTAGAGTACCCAGAGGTCGGAAGAGCAACCCCGGGGTGCGTGGTGGAGGAAAGCGGCCCTCCGCGCGTGTAGTCTGGGGGCGCAGTCCGTCGTCGGGGGGCGGCCCCTGGGCAGCGAGGTCCCGCCGGCTGCTCCCGGACCAGGCGGAGCCGGCCGGAGCAGCCTAGGGGCCCCGGGGCGGAGGGCCCCCGGAACTCACCTTGCAGGGCGCGGCAGTCGCTGGCGAGCTGGGAAGGCGCGGTAAGGGGAGCGCCCGGGGCCCAGCGCCTTTGTACGCGGGGCGGGTGGGGCGGGAGGAGGCGCGGGCCGGCGGGAGGAGCCTGCAGCGGTCCGCAGGGAGAGCCCGCTCCGCCCTTCCTGCCCCTCCCGCCCGCTCCCCCGCTCGCTCCACACATTCTCCTCGCACACACTTCATATTCTCTCACACACACAACACGCACACACCGTCACATCACACACCCCCCCCTCCCGCTCTCTCTCTCTCTCTCTCTCTCTCTCTCTCTCTCTCTCCTGCGCGCACACAGTCACATTCTGTGACCCACACATTTTCTTTCTCACACACACTTTCTCTCACACACACATTTTCTCACACCCATACTAGCACACAGTCACATAATCTCTCACACACATGCACACTGTCACATTTTCTCACACACTTGTTTTCTCATACACACGTACACACATCCACACACAATGTCACATTTTCTCACATACTGTCACGTTCTTTCTCACACGCATACGCATGCACACACAGTCACATGTTCTCTCTCGCATACACACGCGCACACACGCACACACACATGCACACAGACGCGCGCACACGCACTGGGCACACCCCTTCTCCCTGCGGGCCTCACCCGTCCGCTTCCCTCCCTGGGCTAACCCTACTGTCTGTCTCCGGAGTGGCGCTCGGGCCCTCTGGGATGCGAGGGCATCCCCGCCCCGGGCTGTGCCCTTCCTCTGGGGCTGGGATTTGGTAAGTGGGTGAGTGGCAATAAGAAGGGCCCGCCCGGGCCGGGCGCCAGCGGCGGTCCAGGGGCAGGCGGCTGTGCCGGCACCTAGAGGTCTAGGCACTGTTTTCTGGATGAAGACCTGGTGCCTTTCAGATCTGCGCTGGTCTGCTGGGGATCTGGTCCTGGGGTCTCAGGCCCGCGCTCCGCCTCCCCTGTCCGCCAGGTGCGGAGGGCCGGGAGGGGTGTGTTTGCTGTTTACCCCCGCCCGCCCGGTCCGGCCCGGCGTTCCAAAGCTTTTGTTGTAGAACAGGGCTCACCTTTCCTAGTACAGCTTGTGGCTTTGTGCGGTCGATGGTTGAGTTTCAGTTGTGGTCGATATTGCTGAAACCTGTTTCCAAGTCTTCTTTTTTGCTCCGTAATGACTCTACTTGGCTCTAAAAAGCCTTTGGAAGAGATTTCTGGAAAATATTTAGAGAAAACCTAAATGTTTCCTAAATGATGATTATTCTTTCCCCACTCCCACCATATTTATTTTAATTGTGGTTTGGGGTTAATGCGAACTACTAGCAGCTGTTGGTGAACAGACCAGTCCCTAGGGCTGGAGTTCCCTTTGTTCCCAGGGGAGGTTTGGGGAGGGCTGAGCGATTCCAAAGGAATGAGCAGAATCAGGGAATCCTCCAAGTTCCAGCACGTGACAGTCTTGGCAGTGGTCAGGGAAACCCAATGTGGATTTCAGCTCTCACTTTCTCCAGGGTCTCTGCTGACTTCCTGAAACCTCCGCTGCCTCTTTTGGTGGCAGCTCTTGGGATCTTTCCACAGGCCCCAGGTCCTCACCCGCGGAGGAAATCCTGCCCCTTCCTTCCCAGGGAAGACAAAGCAGGACTTAGAAGGGGAAAGGAGGGGGTTGTAGTTTGTACTCACCGACTTTCTTCATCTGGGCCACAAACCTTAGATATTTACTATGTATCCCTGGGGATCCGGAGTGCAAGAATCTGTCTCCTTTCAAAAAACTCCAAGTTTTATGGGGAGATAGTAAACAAAGTTCCTTGTGACAGGTGATAGCACAAGATACTATAAGACTTTGGAAGGGGGGCTTCTGAGACCCCTCAGAGTGGCCACAGACTGATTCCTGGAGGAAGCAACATTTGATAGGAACACAAAAAAATAATCTAACACTCTGACTTTTTAATCTGTAAAAGCATTACATTCTTTTTAAAAAAATGTGTGTGCTCATAGTGTCTGAATATTTTTAAAAATGATTTATTATGTGTGCGTATCCATGCATGCATGCGCCAAAACACCTACATGGAGGTCAGAGGACAACTTTTGGGAGTTGGTTCTCTCCTTGCACTGTAGGATGTGGGGACTCAACTCAGGTTTGCAGAGCAAGCACCTTTACCTACTGAACCATCTCCTTCGCCCAAGCATTATATTCTTATTGTAAATGACTTGGAAAACAGCAACTAAAAAATATTTATAAATGTATAAACCATAAAATAAATATTTTCATGCATTTCTTTCTACTCGTATGCATATATTCTCATAATTATGATTATACTGATTATGCAAATTTCATAGTATTCTCTTTTTTGTTATCTAACACTGTATCTCTACTTCTTTCTTTCTTTTTTTGTTTTAGAGGTACTGGAGATTGAACCCAGGGCTTCCTACATGCTGGGCAAATGCTCTACGATTGAGTTACACCCCCAGCCCACTTTGCTTTTTCTCTGTCATTAGGTGTTTTTCAAGACCATCAGTGTTTGTTCACTTACTCATTTTTTCTTTGTCATTTAACAAGTAGATATTTTCCACCTCTTTAATCTGCTGTCAGGACTCTAGAACTCTGGGAACACTGTATGAGTGCTGAGGTACATGGTGGGCATGACTAGCAGGACGGACACTGTATCAGGTGCTCTACCACTAACTATTCCCTCATCCCTATGTGCCTTCTTAACCACCACGTGTGCTGATAGGTCCGTGAAGTTTCAGTGCCTGTAAACTTCTAAGGAAGCTGGGTATGTGGCACATGCTTATAATCCCAACACTTTGGAGGCAAGAGGATTGTGAGTTTGAGACCAGCCTGGGTTACATAGTGAGACGGTCTTTAAAAAAAAAAAAAACAAAAACCACAAACTAAAACCAAAACCAAAACACTTCTCTCCAGGAAAAGTCTTCCCAATTTCTTAAAACATTTTTTTTTATTGAGAATTTCATACATGCATATAAGGTGTTTTGATCAAATCCATGCCCACTCCCTCCTCTCCAACTCCTCCCATATCTCCCGGACATCACTTTTTTCTGATAACTTCATGTATTCTTTCTTCTTTGATTGATTGATTTATTTTTTATGGGGCTTTTGGCTACTATAACATTCCCCCCTGTGAAGAGGTAACCCTAAAATCTTTTAAGGATTAGATAAAAACTCCCAAATATTTTTGATATTTTTGGCCTTTGGAACAGAGTATGTTGCTAAGAGGCCAAAGGACATTGTGAGTTTTAGCCAAGAAACTGGCTATTTTTCTTTGGAGTCTTTGTACCCTAATTGCCTAGCCAATTCCTACTTCCTATTCTTATCAAACCATCCTCTGAAGAGGTTACCTAAATTGCCAATAGGGAATCGGGACGCAAACTGCTCTGGCTCCTTCCACACTGAGTCTGGCTCCTTCCACGCTGAACAGAGATGCAGGGTGAGGCAATTGGAGTACCCCTTCAGTGGGTCTATCTAAAAGATTCCCAAATTGCATAACT